TCTCTCTCTCTCTCTCTCTCTCTCTCTCTCTCTCTCTCTCTCTCTCTCTCTCTCTTGTTCTCTCTCTCTTTCTCTCTCCCCCCTTCCACCACAACAAACCTCCCCTACTTACCATCACTACCATCACCACCCTCACCATCGCTTCAGCCCCGCTGTCACCTAGGCTAGCTCTTACTTTTACCCCAGCCCTTGTCGTCCCACACTCCGTTAAATTATCACTACTATCATCACCATCACTATCCCCATCGCTATTGCCTTCATTCAAACTGGACGCAGATGCTAATGTTTTGTCGATATAGCCGAGAGGAGTCTTTAATTTTTAATTTTTAATTTTTTTATTCATTCGGAAAGAAATATACTCATGGACGGTCTAAATTGGACTCCCGATTTTCTGCCGCTGTGGCCCGACTCTAATTATCGAAGAGAATTTGCGCGCAGTCTTTCCGAATATATCATTGACAGAGACAGGAAATATCCTACGGCTGAGCCAGGAATGTGGGATCCAGATATGCCGCTGCCCCCCAAGGTCCGGTCCTACTTTTCCGATTGTGTGAAGCAATTCGTCGAGTCCCTTTTCGATGAGCTGTTCCGAAGACACCAGCCCGAGCAATTCGTCGCGATGGAGGATAATTACGCATTGGAGAGGTTTCTGCACCAGCCCTACCCTAACGAGGAGCCCTTCAATCCTATGGCCCTAACTACGCTACGTGAAAACCAGAGCCATGGGGATACCTCGGGTGGGTTCAACGGCCAGAGCCCTTCGACGGCAGATCCCAGGAGGCCTATCAGAGAACTCCACCGTCAAGGCGCGGTTCACCAAGCCGACCTTTTCCAGGCAGCGTTCAGTCCGGATGTGTTCGCTCGGGGAACCCATGGAGCAAACCTTGCGGAGCAGATGGAAACCGTTACCGAGATCATGAGCTCTAGGAAGAGCTATGTTGAGCCGCTTTACCAGGAGGGGGCGTTGGCCCCACCGCCACCGCAGTACACAGTTATGGGGTCTCATAATTCTGGCCGCCCCGGGGGAAGCGCCTTGGGGAGAAGACGGAGGGCCTGTAGCGGCGAAGAAAGCGCTTCCGCTGGCTCGCAAACTGCCGCTCGCAGAACAAAGACGAAGCGGAACCAGCCACCCCCGAAAACTGCTCTTGGGGGAGCAGGCCAAAGCTCCCGGAGCCTTGGGGCGAACGTGGGGAGTGTCGATGAGAACCCAAGGAATACGAGCGGCGCTGGGACGGGTTCGAAGGAAAGTTTCAAGCATGAATGCGAACAGTGCGGGGAACGTTTCGAGTTCCCGGCAAGGCTCAAGTGCGAACCACTCGCTGTCTCTCTCTGAGCATTAGGGTTAGGGCTAATAATGATTAGAAGCCACATGGAGACCATATCCCATGCTGAGCGGAAGTATCAGTGTGATCGCTGTGGATCAGTATTTTCTCGGAAGAGCTCATTGAAGAGACACCTGGAGGCGGCGACTGCGTGCAAATCTAAGGTCCAGAGTGGAAACGATTCCCCTCCCCCGTCGGCATCCGAATCTGGAGCTCGTGATGCCGCCTTCCGTAGCGCGAGGCCACCTTCCATAGCGTCGCCCAGCCACGGTGATGTAAGCCCTTCAATCGCTGGCGATCAGTCTGTTAGCTCCCGGAATCAGTATCGTTCGGCTTTTCGCCCTCGAGCACCGTTCGGAGGGGATAGTCATTTGTCTCCAATGGCCCGGGTATCCTCTCAACAACACCGTCCGTTTCAACCATCGGTAGCCTCCCGTAGCTCACACCGCCCATCAAGCGCCCATTCATACATAAATCCCAAGATTCTCCAGGAAATGAGCGATGGATACAACAATTGAGATTAGATCCGAACGGGCAATGGTTGCGGTGCATGAGGTATAACACTCAATATCCTGAAACCCCGAGAACACTCGATTAACAATCGGTAGCTGTAAATCTCTGGTCTCCTGGCATATACTGGTGTTAGTGTTGAGACGATAATTCGGCATGTGCCATGCTTGAAACCCCCCCCCCCAAAAAAAAAAAAAATTTGTTATGGGGGGAAACTCCTCTGATATTTTGGCCCGGGAATGGCGCTCTGTCAATGTCGAGGCTAGTTTCTGTCAGGGAGAAATGAATCCCCTGTTAGTAACATCTGGGGAAGCGCGGCTTCAGGCCCGGCACTAACGGAAAAAATGGGGCCCGCCCCGGAGCAGCATATAATTCTCTTGACGTTGTGTAGGTATTAGAGAACCTAAGATGTATCTAGATTTTTCTCACCGCGTGAGCTTTCAATTGGTTGTAATATTGGTGGATATTTTTCTTATTCCTTTAGCCCCATCTATCATGCCTGCTCGAATAACCTCCTTCCGGGTCTAATTATTTCCTATTTCTCACCCCCTTTTCCCCCCACCCTTTCGAGTCCTTTTTGAACGCTTTGTCTGTTAGATCGGGTTTTGATCCTTTATAGTGAGGCCCTCCCGGGAGTTCGGATTATTCTTGCGCTTCTGTAATGACGAGGTGTAAGGCGTGCGGTGGCTGCATTATTGTGATAGTTTAGAGGATGGTTGAATAGTCTACCGGACGCTGAGAATATTATATAGAGGAGTTGAGGCGGGAACTTGTTTTTTCTTTCTTTTTTTTCCTTCTTTTTTTCTTTTTCCCCCCTCCGAAAGTGACACTTCCTTATGCTCGGTCAACAGGGTTCGTCTTACTTTTTAATTTCACCTGAAAAGTGTAGTCTGCATCACGGCAGATGTGATCATTTGTAGGCACATATATGTGCTTCGTCAAGTAACTTAACCGCATGCAAGATGGGGTGCTGGTACGGTACGGTATCATGGTATGGTTTGGGTGTGCTTGTATCATGTTGTGGTTCCTGGCCCAGTTTGCGAAAAGGTATATTTCAAATGAGTATGAGGGATTCCTCGAGAAATATTTCCAAAAGAACCTTATCTCAGTTGGCTAAAAAGGGTAATTTATTTTTACTCTAATCGCCTAATACCTTCAATAAGAGGAATCCGGAAGCGAGGTAACCCAAAGGGTGAGCTCGTTAGTGTTGATTCAAAGTTCTACTTCCGGTATTGGTAAGTGTGACTCTAGAAACCTAACCAACTGAGACCTCAGTACGAGACAATTCACTCATTCAACATCTATTTCCTCCCAATTTCCCCCCAATGGAGCAAAGGGAGCCCCAGCGCTCTCTGCGCATGCCAAGGAAAACATGCGCAGGACAGGTACACCACTCAGCCGAGCGAAGAAAAATGCGCCAACTCAGAGGTGTTGTGGTTTTGGGCGGGGGAGCGGGGAGGGGGCGAGCGAGTGTGGCAAGTGCTCCACAACTACCGCAAACTCCCAGCGAACATCTCCCAAAAGCTTAAAACGGCTTTATCGTGTGTGTCTAGCTAGGCTCTAAGGGAATTCGCTCTTTCCTTTTTTTCAGTCATCAAGTCAAAGCTTCTTTTCCTCCACACCACTACCGTATATCACAGTCCTTCTCCACCACGGCTGACCGGCCTCCTGGGAATAGGACTCGAACTGAACAAGTTAGATCGAGCTTATCCCCCCCCCCCTCCTCCCCGCGGGCCTGTCTGTCAGGGGGTGTATTAGTACAGTAGCAGCAAGTGTGTTGGGGAGGATACTATTCCGGGGGGTTTTTTTTATTACCCGTGTCGTCGATCTGCTCCCGAACCTTGTGCTGAGTCGTTTCGACTGCAGACCTGGGGAGTCGGTCCTTTGTATCATACCATCCCCATCCCAATGGATCAAAGCTCAGACCACATGGATTTGTATGTGGGGGGGGATGACAGGCGGGGAGCCACTTGGTGGGAGCGTTTGACGAAAGATAGTGCGCGCATGCGGGAGTTGGTGGGAAAGCTCAATCAGGCTTGCTTCCCAATCGATGCGAGCAAAACTTGCCCAGAGGTCGATACCGCCCTCGAGGAGGTGTACTACTCTCTTGATCCCCCTCACGCGCGTGGCACACACATATCGGAATCGAGCTTTAGTACTGCCCGCGCCCACACTATATCCGCCATCAACGACCTTGGACGTCAGAACCACTCGGGCGCTGTTGAACAGAAGGACGACATGGGTGCCTTTTCCATGTCCCACTTTCTCGGCGAGGACTATCCCGGGCCCGCCCCGTTTAATACCGAGGCCCTACCCCCCCGTGCAAATGATAGCACCGGAGATGGGGGTTATGTGGCTTCCTCCCATGGAAGCTCTGGTGGGCTGAGGGGCGGCACTTCTTTACCCCTTAGAAAGAGGCCAAGGACCGGCGGTCGCTCCCACCCACGTGATTCCCGTCCACATCCACATCCACATTCTGGGAATCCGGCTACCCACACGCTGAACGACTCCCAAAAATCCAGTCCAGGCGGAAGCAGTGGCGACTCACCTGGTGCCTCCGGTACCGTTCTATCAGATGGTTGTCTCTCAACGGATAGAAGCACCACGTCCTCATTATCCCCAGCAATACGCAACCATAGCCATCGCCGTACTTACCCCCACCCCCGCTCTGTCCTAAATCGAGACCAAGGCCAACCACCTGTTCCTCGCGCCTATCTTTTCGAGGTGCCCTTTCCCAGGGTCCCGGACGCGAGAACGGATGTGACAAGACCTGGAGGCCAACACAAGTGTGATGAGTGCGGATTGACATTCCCATATCCTTCAAAGCTAAAGTAAAGGCCACTCACGATCCGCATCCCAGTATTGTCCCTTTGTCCCCATGCTTACCAAATTGTATCAGAGACCACAAGCATATCCATCGACCCGATAAGCCACTCCCCTGCCATCACCCTGACTGTCCCAAGGCATTCAAGAGAGCGCGAGAGCTCCAGGCCCACAAAAAGACACATGAGAGACGTGGTACGTAGTCCTCGTTCGTTTGCCCGAATCGCGGGCGAGGAAGATGAGGCTTGATTAACCGGCCTTGCCAACCATAGCCGCTGGAAACGCCCGCCCCCAAATCCGACCCACGACCAAACCCCCGGTCGGGCCCACGGCCCAATCCCCAGTTCCTCCCCCTCCTGCGCAATGCCCCCCCGGTCCCTTGTGCCCTGATGAGTGCCCCCCGAAGAGCGAGGTGCCGTACTCTGACAGGACTCCCCCCGCGTCCCCCGAGGATGAGCGCACGTTATCCAGGTCACCCTCTCCGGCTTCGAGTCATACAGGCAGGTGTGTGGCAACTTCAGAGCCGCCGATTGTCGATGAACAAGGGCGGAAGGTACTTGACCTCACGGAACCCAGGGGGTATGACAGCTTTCACATTGTCGGCACATGGTTTCAAGTCACATACTTACTTACTCGACCTGTGCACAGGTCTGGCTTTTCCCCTAGATTGTTGGTTAGGTTAGATAGACAGCTGTTCCCCGGGATCGAACACTTGGGTGGTATGTTTTGGGATGACTCTTCATTCAACCAGATGCGATTTAAACTTTTCTAACGTCGGCGATCAGGGGTTGACAGCACCTAACGAGAAGCGGTTGACTCCCAGGGCGATTCACCTGCCGGGGTTCCCGACTCCTTCGACTTCCATTTCTTTTTTCGTTTATTTATATTTTCCTTTTTCTCAGCTGTTTCGCCACGTGGTTTAACATTAGCGAAGGGGGAATGGTTTGGCTCTGTCTCTCTCTCCTCTCTTTTTCCGATAGTTCATTTATATTACGGTATATTCATTGGTATTGACGGCACTTGACACGTGAAGGACGGGGTGGAAAGGATGGATGAGTATTTCAAACTTGGCGTCTTGACTGGAACATTCAAGATGCGTGTGTGCCTGCAGATTTACGATGAGAGCACGGATGCGGGTGGTGATGATGATGATGATGATGACGATGGTGATGCAGGGGAACTCTATTGCTGTCCTCCTTGTTGGCCGGGATGGGGCCTGGGGATGGGGGTGGGGAGAGTTGTCGAGTGTTTGTAATGCGCGGGTTGCTGTACAGCTAACGGTATCGTACTGGTCGTTGTTGAGAAAATGCTATAAATAGTTTGAAACTTTGGTGTTTTTCTTTTCTTTTCTTTCCTTTTTTTCTACCCTCTCATTCATGTATACTCTGTATTGTTCTAATACTCGCCAGCATCACCAAGCTGATGATGTGTTGGGGGCTTCGGGAAGGGGGGGGGGGGAAAAGGCCATGTTGGCGCGTGGGCCTGGGGCTGGGGTGGATGGAATTGGGGCTGAGCTCCCCACCACCACCACCACCACCACCACCGCGGCCGCCCGACCGTACCGTATGATACAAGCCCCACAATCGAGCCTTAGCAGTGCTACGGCCGGGCGTTCAGAAAGGCAAACCAAGCAAGGAGGAATACTGGGTGAATGATGATCTTTGCAGCCTTAGATTCTCGCGTACCGTATCCCTACATCCCCATATCTCCTGTAAGACTGCCTTGTCGATTTCATTTCACTTCACCTCGAGAACAGTCATGCACCGGACTGCGATCAGGCGTGTTACCCCGGTCGAGTCGTCCCTGGATGAGTCTGCGAACAGAAGAGCCTATCGACCGACTCCAGGCAGCCAACCAGCCACCCCCATTGGGATAAATAATGCCGATATCCTCGTTCTAGAAGAATGTTCGAGGCCCCATCCAGTCTCCAGAGAAGCCCCACAAAGTCGGGCCAAGCTTTTTCGAGCGTTTCTACACGTCACAAACATACAGGTAGGCAGGCGTTCAATGCGCCTAATCTCACTCGTGAAGCGAAGATGCAGGGGAATAATTATGCACATTTTGCTGACGCTCTGCTTTCATGGCAGGTCTTCAAGGAAACTCTTTTGCCGCGACGCCAATAAGTACTTTGACCTGCCGGCCTTCTTGGAGGTGGATGTCCAGATTCCGCTTGAACCCACAAAAGAGTATACCCCATCATCAATGGCCTTGCGACCAACTCGGCCTTCATGGCTGTTCGAGGAACACCGGTTGGAGGCGCTCATTGAGCAGAATGACCTAACAATTCCCCTCTCCGCGCTGCGCGCCAGTCGAAACGAATGCAAGCTCGTCGACGAGGTGCTCAAGCGGATTCTCTCCGAGCAAAATATCCAGACTATGCCCGGGGAATTCGAGATGTACTGGGCGAAAACTCACCTGGCAATGGATATACAGAGCATCCTGAAGCGCTGGTGTAGCGCTGGGTGGGATAAGACCTGGGAAGGCTCAGCGTTACGCAATCTGTGCCCCGAGGTTCCCAAGCAGCCTGAGGATCGGAATATGGACGATGCAACCACCAACACCACCAACACCACCACCACCACCACCACCACCATTGCCCCTACCGATACTGCGGTGGAGCAGAAGACCAGGCTCCTGAAATCTGAGCCCACCCACCCCAGATTCTCCGAGCCCTTTGCCGCGGGTCGCCAGAGCTCGCATTCGGGATGGACGCCGTGCAATGGCTCGGTTGCGCGACCCCTTGAAGCAGAAGCTGCTGCTTCTGCTGCTGCTGCCCGCGCAAGCTCCAGGGTATATCCCATCCCCGTTCAGCCAGCAACCAAACGACAATGCGAGGATTCGGATGACTATTCGGCTCGGCGAGTCTCGAGGTCAAAGTCTGTGAATTTCGGAGACCGAACCCAGTTTATATGCCCATACCACGCCCAGAACGCGAACGAACATCCCGAGTGTGCGAACAAGTCGTTCCCGAACCCCAGAAAGTTGAAGTGAGTTCTTCTAATGCCAATCAGTGCGCCCTTTGCCGTTGCCCCCTCTTCGCATCGAAGGAAACTAATAAATTTCGCAGGGAACATGTCTGGCGCTGGCTAAAACCCTTCAAATGCCCCACGTGCGGGGAAGGGTTTGGCCGCGAGAAGACGCGAGCGATTCACTGTGACCAACGCAAGACGAAATGCAAGAGCATGCCCTCGACGTACGAGGGCAGCGCCGAGCAGCGAAGGGATCAGAAGATTGAGTCTGCAAAGAGCACGAGGGAGATGATCGAGATCTTTGAGGAGTATGAGCGAGAAAAGCGTTAGTTGTACCATTCGCATCTCTCCCGAGTCGACTAACGTCTATTTTCTCCGGCGCAAAGAGCTCACAAGTACCTCCTCTCAGACACTCCACGGGACAGTAACTCCTCCCCTTCCTCCACCAACCCCCACAATCAAGACAAGAACAGCAACAACGGTGATGGCAGCGCCAGCGACGGGTGCCGCCAAGCCAGAGGCTACAGAGACAACCAAAACGACAGAAGTTCCAGCCCGGAATCCCAGAAAACCTCCAGTACTGGCCTTTCTGATGGTTACAGCGACAACGGAGACAACTACGCTATAGCCAAATCGAACCACACATATATGCAGCCCCAACAAACTAGCAGCGCTAGGATGGGAGAAGGAGTAAGCATAGACATCGATTCCCGAAGGGATTCCGTCGATAGTAGAGAGCAAGAACGAGAGGCAGAGGAAGCAGTAGGACTAGGTTTGAACCCACGCCGTGGCTTCGACCACCTTGATTCCAACAACACCCAGCATTCACTGAGCCAGGACTCGTTCCAGTACCCGTTACAACAACCCTTGCATGATGAGGATGAGAGCCGGAATCTCTACCTCTTCCCCCAAATTTCGCCCGTCTTGAGCTCATCGTCAGATATGGACTATTCCGCTTCAAATTCTCCCAACACTATTATAAATCCCGGTACACTCTCCACAAATCTCCTGTCAAACGTTCCCGAAATCGTGGTTACCCACCCGGAACCGCAGGCTAAAAGCCCGACCATCACCCGCCCGAGCGATACGGACCCGTACACGCAGCAAATTGCTTACTATCCGAATCCTACCTCCTGTTCCCCCCCCTCCAACGGTCTATATAATCATCACCACCATCAGAACTTCAGGAGAGGAGGGGAGGAGGAGGAGGGCAGTCCAGGTACGGAGGATGTGCCGTACGGGCTGAACTCGAGGGGGATGGGTCAAGGCTATGCAGCGGCGTCGCTCATCTCCCCTGGATATGGGTCTTTTGGGCCGTTGCATTTCAGGATGAAGTATGGTTGAGTGATTTTTGGTGCTTGCTTACTTGACTGGCGGTGGGACGGTAGAAATTGTGATTTTTTTCACGGGAACAGCAACTACAACAAAAAAACAGGTTGAGAATCACCATTTTTCCAGAAGCTTATGATACTAGTTCCCTTTTCCCTTTTTCAGATATTGCTCTCCTTCTACTTGTTTAGTATTATAGTTTCGCTCTTCATCCCATCGAGTCCTTCTCACCACTATTAAATCTCCTCACTCCATGTCTCCCTTCAGTCTTGTACCTATCCCTTCTTTCCATTTTTTATCCTGTTCCCATATATCTCATCTTTCCGGTCTGTCATCTTAGAAACGGTGTTCGGCGCATGGCGTAACACCAATTTGCTTTTTTTCTTCTTTTTTTCTTTTTTTTCTTCTTTCCTTTCCTTTCCTTTTGCTTTCAAGTCACTCCTTTTTTTCTACCATCGATACATCCCACAAATAGACGATATTAGTTCACGTTCGAGTCAGAAACGCGTGATAATTTCCTCCTCACGTCTACGACGTGGAAACGGAGAGGGTGAGGAAGAAAAAAAAACCCCCCCCTCAAAGCTTAACCCTCGTGTCTCCTACCATACTTTGATTGCTAGGTGAAGACGAAGCACAAGTGTACAAGCCCCATCAGCACACACACACACGCACACACACACACACACGCGCGATGTTTAAAAGTCATGACCTGGCCCACTGGCTGTTTGGCAGGCGTGGCAAGACGGTCAGTGCCTCATTTTCATAGCACGGTAACTCAATATTTGCTTAGCGGGCAAGTGTACTCGAGTAGCAGCCTAGGCCCCAGCATACCGTACCGGTATCCTACTCGCTCGAGCACAGCAACACTGCGGTGCATGCAGTACCGTGAGCATGGTGGCTCGCTTCTTGGTCGCCCGCGAGGCTGCCACAAAACCGAAGCCATCACCTATCACCGCAACGTACCGTTCATTGCGTCCTTTTTTTTTTTTTCAGGGCGACGACGCCGATGGACAAAGTCGTGACAGGGGCGGCATTGATTTTGTGTTCCTCTCTTGCTCATCTTCAACACTTTTTTTTTCATTGGGGGGATGGATTTGTGGGTGGGTGTGTGGGTGGGTACGACTACCGATATGTGGGTGTGTCCTGTTTCGTTTTGTGTTGTTGAAACCGTGACAGCACTTGCCCTACCGTATGGTATGGTGGTGAAGTGTACGACGAGCACTCTACTGATCTGGAATAGCGGTTTTGGCGAGAAGGAATGTTGGGGAGGGGGGCAAGGCGGTTGGGGTTTGGGCTACTGTACTCGTACGCTGGGTAGGTAGGTACAAGTGCGATACGAGTGCCGCATGATACCGCTGAAAAGGACTCTACTCCTCAGCTGTCACGGTGCTGTATGTTTCCTGCTTCTGGAATTGGGGGGAGCCTGCGGCGGTTCTTCTTCTTGACTCGTCCACAGTATGTTGGTTGAAAGGCTGGGTGGGCGAGGTGAGTTTGGTGGGCTTGTGGTAGCCTTGTTTCTTGTGTCGCGGTGAATTATCTCGGACTCGCACAGTACATGTACCAGTACTAGTACCAGACTACCAGTACACTGCATCAGTTGGTCTGTGTTACCGGCACTGCTGGTGGCATGGTACAGTCAGCGCTTTGCCAGGCGGGTTACGAGTAGTCGGAGCGCTGCATACCCGGTAGTCTAGTCTACTCGAGTAGTCTAGACTAGACTTGCGCAAGTAATTTAACCTCCAGGTGCCATCATACTTGGCTGGTACATGTACTGTACTCGTACTTGTAACCAGTGTTGTGGTTTTGTGTGGCTCTCACCCACGCTTTGTCGCATCTGGGTGATTTTCGTGAGAAGCAGGTTACATGGGATAATGGTGCACCGGTGCTCGAGTACCGGTATTTGTGGGGAAAAGCATGTTTTTGATGCCTAACCATGGAGGGTTCAGCTCTGAACGGGAGGGAGGGGAGGTTCTACTCGTAGCTACCGCGCCATACCATACCATACCATATCGTGCCATGCCATGCCATGCCATGTCGAACACCGTCGTACCGGTATTGTAAATTTATCGCACCGGATGACGCAAATACAAGACGCAGCACTGTACCGTAGTTGCAGGATGGCAGGCTCAGCCTCAAATCAAGAGAGTAATTGCTTTTTAGATACAATGGTGAGAAACGGTACCCGCCGTTAACAGGGCTAACACTCTGGCTTACACATACACACACTCTCTCTCCCTCCCCCTCCCTCCCTCTCCTCCTATCATACCAATTGTATGAGTACTTCATGGGTGAGCCATCAGTCCGTAACTTTACCGTCCGGCAAGCCGGTAAGTGCGGAGGCGAGAGGGAACCACACAGACGACCCATTCTACTCGTACACCCTAAATCAATCAATCGATCGATCAATCAATCAATCTCCAAGCTGACCCTGCCTCCTGTTTCCCTTCCAAGCGAGTCTAGAATATTACTCCTATCGTACGGTACGGTGCGAGTGACTGGCTGCGCACCGATCCAATGACACACACGCACCCTCTCCACCGACCCACTCACATTGGTAAACGGGTTTGTGGCCAGCATGACAAACGACCACCACCTTCCATGCCCGCGTGTGATTCGATACAAGGGACGGGAGATAAACCTGAGTATGATACAAGTACAGTTGTGCCCTTTCCCACACTGCTCGAGTACAGTACCCCTCACCCGTCCGCCCATCCATTCATCCGTCCATCGCCCGTTCGGAGCTGAGGCCGATGAAGTCAAAACAAGGTGTGGCCAAAGAAACTTTGTCTGCCTCTTCTCATCGGTTATGATACCGGTAATTTATAAGTACCCGAGTACATACACACACACACTCGAACTCTATTGTTACCGTACCGGCATTATTATCTTCCTTTTCGGTTGAGAGGTGGGTGGGGGGGGGGGCGTACCCCATCGGGACGAGGCTAACTCTGCCAAAATCAAGCTAACGAATATTTCTGAGGTTAGCTTGTACTGAATGGACATGGCCGGAGTGGGGTCCTTAACGGGAGGCGTGACGAAAAGTGGTCCCTAACGGGTATTTATTTTATTTTAACTTATTTTATTTTTGTTGCCTTACCTTGGGGAAATTCGCTTCTCTTTCCCGTTGGATACCCATGTTCGTCGTGCCTCCGTTGGGGACTTTAGGTGCGGTGGTTGGATTGGGTTACCGTAGGCTTCGCAGTTCGGCGGGGAGCGTGGAAGGAAGGCCCTCTTTTGTGATTCGTTAGGAATCGAGGTTTTAGGGTTGGTGGGTACGAGTACTGTACTCGAGTATACGGATGCTCGTTTAGGTATATGATAATATGGACGACGGAACTGTTGGCGCATCATTTCCCATGACTCGGAGTTGATGATGTACCGAACGGTTGGAGTGGGGGGGGTTGGGGGATTAGAATTCCTAGTGGCCCGGAGCTAAGATTTCCTCCTGTCTCCGCCTCGTGAGAGCGGCGCGTTGGTTTCGAGCTTGGAGCACGCTGCACTGTGGGCGCTGGACTGGTACTAGTACTGTGCTCCACTGTCTGAATGTACCGTAGGCTCATAAGGCACGGGTAGTCGAATGGAAACGGCCTAATTCCTGCCTCCGAGAAATGTGGGGTAAGGACCATACTGTACCGTCTCGGCATGACTTTGAGCCAAAATCATCTCTTCGCACGATCGCCTACTGTCTTATCATACATTCCATTAGAGATTTCGGACCCTCCCTATCGATTGCTACATCATAATATACGAGTACGATACCGAACCCCCCCCCCCCCTCCTCTCCGGCACTGCCACTGCGTAGAATCCCGTACTGGTATGATACATGATACAATGTTTCCTGCCTTGAGCCGGCGCGTCCATGCGCCACAGTCGATATCGTAGGAGAGTGGTCGAACAGAGTGACTATCGGTACCCTATCCACCGCACAATCCCCAACCACCAGCTTGATTCTTGACATCGGGAAAAGTGATCTACCGCCATCTGAACCCTTAAGCACATGACAAATCGTTGCCATCACGACTGCCAATGCATCTGTAAGCGTTACACTGTAACAGCTTGCCGGGTGACCACCTGCCCCGCAGAGCTGAAATCCTTTGGCGGATGGAGCGAGGCGAGAGTGATAATCAAACCATAATACCAGCACCGTACCGGTATCACACAAAACTTTAAAAAGCAGGCGGACAAAAAAAAAAAAAGAAATGAGGTCAAGGTAATAGCATGGCGAAGCTTTCTATCATACCTCCAACCAACCAACCTTCTTTTGCCTCCCCCACCCTTTCTGCTCCCTCCTTGCCCCTTCGCCCCCTGCAAAGGAAGCTGAATGCAGCAAAACAAACGAAAAGCTCCGCCGTGATGGTCTATGAGGTGATTGAGGAATACAGGCTGCGGACATTTAAACATGAGGCT